TACATCATTATTAGGTTGTTAATTTAATATTTCGAACGTCCCAAATAGGGAAAGGAAAAAAAAAAGAAAAAGAAAAAGAAAAAGGAAAATGGATGCAAATTATATTTTAAGAAATTGTTTGAATACATTGTAGTATGAATAGCATGAATTTAAATATTCATTTTAAAAAAAAGTCAAAGGCAATTTTTTCTTAGTTGACTTTCGATTTAACTATATATAAAGTTCTTACTTCTTAGTCTTTGTTAACCTGTTTAAGCAATCATGAAAATGGCCGCTATGGAGAGCTGCAATTCATTAGCAATTACTCATATATATTGCTATAAATTATATATAAGGGTTTATTTTAATTGTTAAATTATATTCACCATCCATATATTTATTCTAATTGCTGAAAAAAAATCGTATTATTTTTTATTAACAAGTACCCCACGATTTCATTTTTAACTAGCTCTAAAAATGTACCGATACGAAATTGTGTGCTAAAAAAAATACACTATAATAATATTTCGTTTACTAATATTTATAACACGAGAGTTTTTTTAGCAATAGTGATTTCTTTTACAATTCCGTACTCATTATACAAGTCTTGGTCTTGATTCTTGACCGTGACAAATATATCACCTTGATGTTTAGTTCTACGAAACTTCCCCTTTTTTTCGGATTTTCATAGTCTTGTTTTTTATTTTATGAAAAATAAAAATATACATATATCATTCAACGCAAGAAGTGATAATTTACTACCAAGTCGTACATTTTTGGCATTGCTTCTTCAAACTCGCCCAAGTTGATTAGTTAATGGATTATTATACTGCAACGTTAAATGTCGCGTTTTAATTCTACTAATACCGTTTTGACTTTGAACGTGATTTTGACCAGTTTTTAGTCTGACTTATGCGAAATTCGAAGCACAAGAATTGTAGTCTTATCAATTAGCTTTCTATTGCAACTTGAATCAGCTAGATCGGATTTCGTGTGACAAAATTATTCACAAATGAATTAAGTTTTGAAATTTAGATAGCTCAAAACATTAAAGTTGTGAGCATTATTCATTGACTCATATATATCTTTCTCATCCAACATCCAATTTCGGTAATTCAAGTTGCATAAGAAAGTTATCTTAAAGAACCAAATATTTCGTACTTTGAATTTTGTCAAATTCAGCCTCGAAAATAGTCAAATTCATGTCTGAAATCAAAACGGCACTATTCAAACCGAAACGACATTTTATCACATCTCATTATTATATCATGCATAAAATAGAATTAAAAAAATATGAACAAATATTTTACAGATAATTTGAGTTGAATAAATATGAATAATCACAAATAAATGATGAGTGAGTAGTACTGCGGCTACTAACCGGGAACCGAACCGGAACCGGTTAGGAACCGAACCGCAAGGAACCGGATTTTTTCGGTTCGGTTCCGGTTCCTCCAAAATCGGAACCGGAACCGGCGGTTCGGAACCGGAACCGGAACCGAACCGAACCGTGGTCAGGTCTAACTGCGGCTGCCAGGATTCGACGGAACCAGTTGAGCTACACCCATACGTGCTAGTGAGTAGTATACGTGGCAACATGTAATACAGTCAGCCTCTGAAAAATCCACAAATAAAGTTGCAGATACGAATTTATAAGCATGTCTTTCTACAGTCCCTAACTTGTTTGTTTCCACTTGGACATTTATTTCATTATTTATCTTGTAAGTTCTTGTTTATCTGGAAATTAATCATGATTTTGATGTTTGGTATATCTAATAACTTGTCGAGTCGATCCGTAAAATCATTGTTTATCTTGCTTCCTTGAGGTATATTTTTCTATTGGACTATTGAAGGTCCAAAAATATAATTGAGTTTATTATATTATTTAATTTTATTTTGGTAACCAAAAGAGGCTTATGTGTGGATTTTTTCTTCTTCTTAGGTTTGTAATTATAATATTTAATTATTTTTATTTATTATTTTTTTTGAAGATAATATTTGTATAAATGAAATTAGCATTGCTGAAAATTAATTGATTTGTTACTTGTTCAATTCTGAGGTAATTTGCTACCTAACAAATTGGAATGGAATTGGACAACGGGTCTAATTTCAACACTGACACACACGCGAGCGCGCACACACACACGTAATAATGATTGGGGTCGAATTTAAAACGAAAATTCTGAATTTTGCCAATTTTCTAAGAGTATTTCCGAAAATCCAGAATCAAAACTTATAATATTAATATTATTATATTACATACCAAGAAAAAATAGAATTTCCAAATTCCATTCTATCCAAAAAAATTCGATTGCGGAACAAGTTTTTTCTTTTCAGTTTCTAAAGTTCCAATTTTTTTTGGAACGGAATTAAACGATTTTTTCCCTCTTAAAAAACGTAAACTTCCGACCGGTTCGGTTTCAAAAAAATTATCGACCAATAAAAGCGAGTCGAAAGTCGATAAAACCGAGGCACGCGCAGCTCTAATTGGAGCTATCTTATCAAATGCACAGTTTGTTTGTTTGATTGGCATTTGGCAATGATAGGCAACACTTTATTGCACTTTAAATTTTGGGGTGATAAGATGAGCTGCTATTTACATATCCATACAAAGATACGGCTCTGCTAAATATATTGGAAAAAAGAATCCCCCCAATTGAATATATAATTGAGTGACTCTCATTATTGAATTTGATTTTTTTTATAAATATATATATAAAAAATTAAAAATAAATAAAGTACAGCTGAAATCACGGGAATGGCTAGCAGCTGAGCTACATTATTAAATAATTAAATAATCTTTTGCCCTTTCAATTTCCCACTAGACAACTATTTCTGCATGCTTTCAAAGATTCCCCACCACCAACAATAATGCAATTTATATTTTATATATATATATATATATATATATATATATATATATATATATATATATGAATTCCTTTGTTAAAACAAAATAATTAAAAAAAAATAAAATAGAAAAGCAAAGTAATAGAGCTACTATACTCTTTTTTTTTAGGGGAGAGCTACTATACTCTACAACACTGGAAAATCTTATTATAGTGCAATAACTGCAGACAAATTAACAATTAGTCTCATGATTGATTCTTGCACATGTAATTAGGTTCCTTTTAATCCCACAAACCAGCTAGAGAGAGAGAGAGAGAGAGAGAGAGAGAGAGAGAGAGAGATTCGAATGCCAATTTTTTTTCTATGTAGACTAGGCGTGAAAGTTGGAACGGAGATTCCGATTTCCGTCCGTTCCGATCCGAAAAATTTCGATTTTAGAACAATTTTTTTCATTTCAATTTCTAAAAATTTATAATGTTCTTGGATTGGAATTGGAATTGGAATTAATAAAATAAAAAAAAATTGGAATTTCTGATTTCCGAACAATTTCATTTATGAAATTCCGATTTGTTTTTTTCCGAGAAATACACATATGGATAATAAATTAAATATTGAATTGTATTTGTACTTTATGGCCGTGCGTGAGGCTTTCATTTGCTATATTTATACTTTATGGACTATGTCACTTAAAAAGATCTTAATTTAAGCGTTTTTTTAAACAATTATTTGATTTAAGTTTTGTTTTAGGATTTTCATACATTGAATTGTTGCTATAAGTTTTAAAAGATATTATAATGTGGTTTATTTTTATTTATTTCTTTTGAACTGAAATTAGTTTCTTTTGAAAAAAAAATATGAAATTCTTAGAAAATTTCCGCCAATTTTTGAAATTTTAACTTATGTTATTTCTGAGTTTTTCCAAAATTCCAAAATTTTCGGGACTTTGGAATTGGAATAAATTTTTAGATTCCAAAAATTTCAGAATTGAAATTGGAATTGATGTTGTACTTCCGAATTTTTTGAATTCTTTCCGAAAGAAATAATCCTGATCCATTCCATCTGGCTTTCACACTAATTTAGTCATTGTGAAAACTCAATCCATAATATAACAGAAAACATTTAAAAAATTATTACAAGAATATGTCCGATGGTATTTATAAGATTCATAACTGAGGTCCAGTCCTGGATTGAAAATCATTGATCAAAAGAAACATAAACTCAAATGACAAATCCATCAAATATTCAAGATTCACCAAAATCATCGTAAATAGGTAAATATCGTATATCATATCGATAATACAACGAAAGCAATGCGTATCGCTTTTACATTACAGTACCATAATTAAAACCAGGATTTTCAAACCTAGCCAGAAAAACCAAAATGTCTGAAAGAGTACTACAGCCGAATAAATCCACCCCAGAAAAAAGATTTTAAAAAAAAAAGATTGTCTTTTTCGAATTTTATTCGTAAGAAGAAAGACGGAACCGTTTATTTAGAAATTATGCACCCAGGGTTGATATTTCGAGCAATGGATGTAGAAAGACGAAACTGCCCCTGAAGGAATCTCTCATTGAACAGCTTTCTGGGATTTCTCGGGTAGAATGTTATCGGGGAGAATGAGTTCTGGTGGGATTTCGCGAACAATACCGATCATGGATTCATAGTCCTCATCTCTTCGAGCGAATTTCTTGCGCAGCATCTTTTCCAGCTGGATTTCATCAAACGATTTGGTATTTTCAGCTGCGTGGACTTTAGCGAGGTTGATGTAATTAGTGGCTGATTGAGAAATGAATGCGATTTCTTCATCGGTTAGCTTCCTCAAGAACTTGGCTGGATTACCTGCCCACACCTGCAGTAGTAGTACACATTTTATAACTTTTTCTTTTTTTTTAATCCAAAAAAAATTTGAAATATTTTAAGGAAATTTTTTGTTCAGGCTATATAATAAAGAAATCTTGTGTAAAATTTATTACACTTTTGTTTGAACCGAAGAAAAAACACAAATAGTATCACATTAAAAAAATAAAAATAAAAATTGCACAAACTATGTTTAGCTTCTTCGTATTAGTACCCCAACAACCAGCATTTTGTCTCGACATATTTTCTTGCATGTTTTTGGCTTATGCCAGCATTTTCCATAACCAGGGAAATGGTAGGTGCGATTTGATTAAACCAATATGTAGTCTTAGATGGAATTGAAATGAAATAACGGAAATCGAAAATTGAAAGGCAGGCATATACATACATACATATATACATACATACCTCTCCAGAAGGGATTCTCGTATTCTGTCTGACAAGGGATCCAGCAGCAACCATGGCATGTTTCTCGACAACAACGCCATCAAGAAGGGTAGCTCCCATTCCAACAAAGGCCTCGTCCTCGATTGTGCAGCCATGTATAACTGCACTGTGACCTGTGTTTTCAATTTTGCAAGTTGCCAAAACAGGAAATTAGTACTATTTCTGTCTTACATTTGAAGAAAACAGATATAAGACGACAAGTCAATTCTGAAAATTCAAATATCAAAGTAGGAAAATCGAGAAAACTCACCAACGGTGACATTGTTTCCAATTATAGTCGGCAGTACATTCCCGCTTAGATTCGATTTCGCCACATGCACCAGGGAATTGTCCTGTATGTTCGTTCCGTACCCAATACTGATGCTGTTCACATCACCTGTTTCCGTAAAGGGCGCATTAATCAAATAATATATCAGAGAAAAGAAAAAAAAGAGAACAAAAAACTTTTATCTTTTTTTCTCTTGACCACGTTATCTTCCCAAAGAGTTTATTACTCGACACGGCTAGCATAACTAGTACGAAATACAACTGCACCCTTACTTTTTGCTAGTGGAACTAGTTCAGAATAAAGTGTAAACAATGATTTAGAGAAGGCATCGGAAGTACTTCGTGTTCAATGAAATCACCAGCGAAGAGCGAACTGGAAGGACAACCTGAAATAATCTTGATTCGCAACAGCGTACACCCATCGGAAAACGACCATAGTGGTTCCACAAAAAATGGAAATTACGAGATAAGAGATGTCCCTCTTTGAGTTACATGCTAATGATAAACAAAAAAATTGCACGAACACCGCATTTGGATTTTCCAAATTTCAATCAAGCAAAGGAACAAACACCATTCAATATAATGAATGATGAATCTGGTCTCTAAAGGTTAATACCAAATTATCAACGGTGAAGATGCACCTTGAACTCAAAGTTATTTGAGGGTTGTCCTGCCTCGTACGGGGCCGTACCCGTAAAAATTGCATTTTTCTTAATATTTACTTCATTTTTATTATTTAAATCTCAGAATTAATATTTTTTTAGTATAAATAGTACATAAAATTATTTAAAAAATAAACAAAAAATGAATGGGGCTGGTGCGGGCATATATTTGTAAACTTGTGCACCCTCCTGTTGGCTAACGGGCGGGTATTACCCAGTTGTTTCCGGGCGCTCGGTACAGGTATCCGGCGGGGGTCAGTATATTTGGAACCGGTAGTGTTAAATAATCTTGACTATCGCAGCACATTCACTATGCTGTATTCTGGTTTTGCTTCTCGTTTAGGCTTAATAGCTACATTCCCTCTCATATCCATAATCCGTCGGTTCGGTCTACCATGAATATAAAACATGCTAAATTATCCTAACTGCAGGAAAAATGTTGATTCAAAATAACCTATCTAGCACTACATTGTTTATATCCAATTTCCTCGTACAACTTCTTCTAACATACAATTTGATAGCGACGATCCTTCTTAACAGTCCCATAAATAACTGTTTAAACTTGGCATATCAACTTTATAAAAGATTATACTTCTAGCAAAATGCTTTAATACATGTTTAACATGTTGATATATAATTATTTGAAATCACATTTGATTGATGGTAGAATTGTTTCTGACACCCGCTTCTCTAATAATCTATCTTCTTGCTTAAGAAATCAGTATATTTTCCAGTACGATAACATAATTGTTCGAAAGGCATCATCAAGCCTGATGAATATTCCCTTAAAAAGAAAAAAAAAAGTAACAACCGAAATAGGCAGTAATAATGATTTGAAGATTTTCTTTAAAAAAAAATATAAACGTGGAATACCTACATGAACCGGAGGCTTTCGGTGAGTATGTTCATAATTCATATAACAAACAAAAGCAAGTAGCTTAAATTGCAGAAACTACGTTCGATTTTGAATATCGATACTAAACGGAATAATCACATTAAACAACGAATACGACTTTTTATTAAGAGGACCCACCTCGAAGGACAGACCCGTACCAAATGGATGCTCCTTGTCCAACCTGAACATCACCAATAACGGAGGCGCCTGGAGCAATAAATGCGTCCTTATCAACCACGGGTGACTTATCAAAGATCTCCATTAGGGTCCGATGCCTAGAAACTGCAAATAAATACCTATGAGATGATAAGGTCTGAACAGAAAATGCATGTGAGAAACGTAATTGGATATTGAACCTTGTTGAAAGAATGAAAGAAAGCCGCATCAGCATTTTTTTTTATATTAAAGGCACAAAGTGAAATAGCATGAACTAATACTCCAAAAGGGTGATAGTTAGAAGTGCCAAAAGTATGAAATTATTTCGTAGACGTACAACGAAAGTTATATTTCTCCAGGGTAAAGAATATGAATTGGAAATGGTTAAGAATTAATGGTTACCAAGAATCAGACACAAGAAACTGAAATCTTGACAAGAAAGAAAAAATAAAAAAAAAAATACCAATATCTCTTTCCTTTGTTTTTATCATTTGTAAAAAGCAAAATCAAATTATTACGTATGAGTATGACTAAGCCATACTATTAGTTCAGTTTCTAATCTGCCCGATTAAGATCAGTCTCGAAACTCAGAGCCATAAAATCCTACACCATCAGCATTGAAAATTAAAACCCTTTCAACTTTTTACGCCAATCCAAAAGTAACGAGTTCCTAAATAGATGATCCCTTAATCGCTCCACACAAACCTCTAGAATGCTTCAATATTTTCATTATCTACTTATTCAAATAATTGTATGACTGCTATTAGTGCGTGAAAACACACACACACACACACACACACACACAGAGAGAAAGAACACATCCGAGTGTCAAATTAGTCATCAATTGGAGAACCTTATTACTTATTATTTGGCTCTTCGCCCAACAAAGGACAAATAAACAGATGAACATCGTCGATTCCCTCCCCAGTTCTTTCAGTATTAACATTCCCCCATATTTCCACAAAAAATGCCATTTACCTTTCACTACACAGACTCCCCCACCAAAAGAGAAATTTAAATTTGATCTTTGTTCACAAACTCCATAAGAATTAAAGCTACAATCTTTCGATTTCATCATCTCACATACTAACCTACGTCTAAACAAACAAATCACTAACGGATCGGGAATGTGAAAATAGAGCTAGAATGCGGGTTCCGGGTTCAGCCCATAAATCAATCCTCAAAATTAAAAATAAAATTGAAAAATAAAAAACCGGAAAATGCACTTACGATGCTCCTCGATATAGGAACTCCCTTGGAGGAGGGAGCCCACTTTATCCATGGCTTTGCCCGTTCCTCGAATCCAATTTCCCAAGGTGTAAACCGCTTTTCCTAGGGTTCCCATTTTCAGCTAAAATTCACCTCCGATTCGTTTCTTTGATTGTGTGCGTATGATCTCAGAATTGATTTAGATGAAGAATGGGGATTTCTCCAGCTGCTTCTGCGGGAGATGAGCTATGGAGGAGGGTAGAAGAATAGGGCTCGGATGGAGTGACTTTGTACTTGGAGGGGTAAATTTGGTATTTCACTCTTGTATTTTTCTGCCTTTTAATTTTCCTATTCACTGAAATTATTTATATATTTTAGGACTAAATGCATTTCACCCCCCTATAAATTTCCCATTTTGGTATTTCCCCCCTAGAAGTTCAGAAAATAGATAAACCCCCCTTGAAATATTATTTTGGTTGCAGTTCTTTGCCCCAAAAGCTAATTTTTGGTGGGCATCGTGCAACAAAAATGACATTTTAAACGGACAATGTGTAGAAAAATAATATTTTAAGGGGCAACGTGAAAGAAAAACACGCAATTATAGTTAATAATCCATTGGAATCTCACTATCGAGGCAATGTACAACACAACAAACATAATATTTTGAAGGGGACATTCACTTTAAAAAAAAAATAGGGGTAAAGTGCGAAAGAAAATTATATGGGGTGACATGCAATTTGCCCTATATTTTATAACACAAAATATATTTTTTAGGACAAAATGCACTTCACCCCCTATAAAATTTCTACTTTCGCACCTCCCCCTAAAAACTGAAAAAATGAATATTCCCACTTCGGAATATTATTTTTGTTGCATTTTTGCCTCAGAAGCCAATTTATGGAGAACAGTGCAACAAAAATAACATTTTAAAGGGGTAACACGTGCAAAAAAATAGTGTTTTAAGGGGCAAAGTGCAACGAAAACACTCAATTTCGATGAATAATCCATCGAAGTTTTGTTATCGCGGCAGTGTGCAATAATAATAACATTTTGAGGGAGCATCCACTTTTAAAAAAATTGAGTGGGTAAAGTACACAAATTAAACAATTACAGGGGGTGATGTGCAATTTGCCCTAATGTGTTTTTTTTTTTTTTTTTTTTTTTTAATAATCTAAAGAGAACAAAAACCAGAAACAGAAAAACGCAAGTTCGACTCATTGAGCTGAACGACGAGTCGTTCTATGAATCGGATCTACACATGTTTTTCCTCATCTCAATCTCATGACTACACTATCTCTCTCTTAAATTGGGTTCTTCCAGAACTTGGATTATGAATTATTACATCTTATTGGTTTAAATATATCTCTTTTATATGCTGTCCGAGTTGGGTTTTTTCGTAGTTTTGCGTTTTGGAACAATCAGCCCCAAGATTATTACACCGTAGTGGTCCAATTGAGTTTTACTTGTGTTTGATTACGTATTTAATTGTCAAATCCTGCCATTATTGGATTAGGGTTTTGTTTTTTAGGTCATGATCACAGTCTGTTCATCATATATCATCTCTACATGTTTGAAATTAATTGGGTTTTAGCATATGCTTTTTTTTTTTCCCGGCACGTTTAGCTAGCCCGTTAGCGATTCGCACTTTAGTAGAGTGGGTTGGGGTATAAATTCCGATCGATTAGTTTATCGGGTTTTTAATTGTGGAATAGGGAAAGGCGTTTATAGTACCATGGGAAAATTGGAATTTTTCCCCCCCCCCCCCCCCTCGTTAATTACTGCAGCAATTGCGTTGCACGGTCGTATTTACTATCTTGATAAGACGAAAGACTTATTTTATAACTTGTCTGAATTTAGAAATAATTTTGCGATTTTCTTTGAGCTGAATACGATTTATCTTACGCAAATTTTAATATCGACTTGTGCAGCCTAATAATGCAGATCAACACCAGTTGATCCCATGTCGATATACGTTCAAGACTGTCAAGCTGTACTGCTGTGGATTCCGGGATCTAGGTAACTTTTCTATACGCTTCTTAATGTTGAACATGTTTGGAAATATATTACACTCGGATAAAATTAATTAGCTATGGGGTGTGACAATCGGTACTCTATTTGAATGAAAATGCCATTGCTCTACATGGACTTGTCATGCGTATTGTTTGTGCCATCTTCATGTAAAATAAATTCAGTGGTGAAAATATTCAAAGTCATTCGTAACGGTTCACTATAAAACTTTAGATAACATGTGTAAGTTCTATTTGTTCTTAGCATATAATTAAGTATTAGACAATTGCGGTCCCGCAAGGGATGGGCTATTGGTTGTAGCCAGTGAACTTGTGTCAATTAATCCAAGTTCGAATTCCCTTGTCAGCGGTCGCTAGGTCGAGTTTGTCACACATGGTTAACCTAGTGTGGTTTGCAAACTATTATACGAGAGTGTAGGTTCACCTAGTGCACCTATATGGTTGGCTACTGATTCCTTCATCACCCAAAAAAAAAGGGTTTAGACATTTGCAATTCAATATTGGAGTTATCTTGTATGAAATAATGCAATTCAATATCTTGTTCCTAAGTATGGCATAAGGTGGTATCTCGGCTCACTAAAGTTTTACCACATGACTATTTCTTGAGCAATTCTTGATTTTCGTCATTCCTTTTCTAAGTTATTCCCATATTTTCATTTCTTCGAGATATTTTCCTTGTAAGAGATCAAAGTTTCTTTTCATTCCATTTTCAAAAAAAAAAGTGTTTTTTATTCATTACAAGAATCACGCTTTCATTTTGTTATATCTTATCTTTCTTTGGAATTTTAAAAACTTTCCACATTTTCTAGAAAAGAGTTACAAAATCCAACATGTGAAAAACCCGAAAACTTCCGAAAATGCAAAATTAGAACATTATTTGTGTAATGAGTAGCCTTGTAAGGAAAAATGGAGTTGGCCGTTTGTTCATTTTTTCTATCGAGTGGCCCAATCAATAGTCATTGTACTAAATTATTCGAGCACTCGGTAAATAACGACTATCCGGCCCATTCTAGAACGATACATTCTAGAAGGTTTTAGGCCCAAACCAGATTTTTAGGGTTAGCTCTTCCCACCTACCCCCATTTATTGCGTATCGAGCTGAATTAGGGTTTACGGCCACCATCCACACCGCGGCTACTCCTATAAATACGCCCTCATTTTCGCTTGCAGTCATATAACAAAAAAGCATTTCTCAGTGCCTTTTTACAATCATTTTCTGCTCATTTTTCTTCGATTTCCATTTGCAAATCAGCCTTCAAGCAATGCTATAAGGTTGAATTTTCTCTTTAATGAAGCTTTTTTTTTGTCTCGTGTTTTCAATTGTTGTCTTGAATTGTTATTTTGAGTCGTCTTTTTTGGGTTCGTGAATCATGGTTCTACATATACATGTAGATCTGCTTCCGAATCATTTTTTTGGTGGGTTTTATGTTGTTATCAAGACTTTGTTGGTCTTGTACCTCCTATTTTTATTATTCGATTTTAGTCGAGTTCCGTTAGTCTTTATAGCAATTTAATTCTTATATACAAGGGGATCTTACGGATTTTTCTTTAATTTCCGCAAAATGTTACGATTTTATGATTCAATTATAATGACCAAAATTTGCAATGTCGAGGGTTAATTCCCTATGCATTTCTACGCTTGTGTGCAATTTTATTGTCAGATGTATTTATGTTGAGAAATTATCAGATCTCCGATTATACCGAGGTGTTTGGCAATAAAATATTCTCTCTTTCCCTATTAAATTGCAGGCCGATGCTTTTACTACTTTGGGTGTCTTTCGTTAGATTTAAGACAATGGATCGCTGTTCATTGCCACCCGTGATAAACATTAATAAAGACGAGGTATATTTTTTAAGATCGAGATCAAGCTTTGTAATTTATTATTTTTGTCGTGTGTAATTATTGCTATCTATTTTTTTTGTCATTAATTTTCCGTGTTAAATTGCAGGCGAATGGAATTACTACTTTGGGTGTGTTCCATTGGATCAAGACATGGATCGTTGTTCATTGCATATCAAATAGAGACTCTCATAATTTCGATGGTAAAATTCCGTGTCTAAATCTGGCAATTCGATAATTGGATTATGATATACAACTGTTTCTTATAATCCTTTGTATGACTTTTTTTCAGGTATTCGATCATGCGAGAGATTCGCATGAGTACGAATGGATCGAAGAGCATTTTTCCTGAGCTAATGGACAACCTAGAGAAGGTTTCATTACATCCAATTGACGGGAAATTGCACGACTTCTTTTCGTGTTGGATGTAATGTGCAAAACCTCATCAAATTCTCTAGGAGTTTCCATTACATCCGCTCGATGGAAAATTGTGCAATTTCTTTTCGTTTTGGATGTAATGTGCAAAACCTCATCAAATTCTCTAGGAGTTTGCATTACATCCACTCGATGGAAATTTGTGCATTTTTTTGTCGTTTCGGATGTAATGTGCTAAACCCCATCAAATTGCGAGGGAAAAATGTTCGTACCTTAGTTAAATACGTGCTCCTCTCGGTGGAGTGTATATTGGGTAAAGATTTGCCGTTCATCCAGACACACATACACACATATGTGTGTGTATTTGCGTGTGAATGAGCGGTAGATGCTTTATTTGATGATGCATTTCATCGGTGTAGCATATTATTTTTTTGTGTTGTAATTTGTAATATTTTTTTTTTGTGTTGTAATTTGTAATAGTTGGACATTTTTTTGTTGAATAAAGAGAATGCAATTGGTTATGTTTACTATGTTCATTGATTTTATAGTATTAATATATAGCCATCATTCTTTAAATTGATAAATTGTATTTATATTCCAAGTGTGATTAAATTTTTTAATTGAAACCGAATAAAAATACTTAAAAATATGGAGAAAAAAAAAATACTTCAAAATTTGAGGCTTTACCAAGATTTAAAGTTAAACCGACATTAATAAAATTGAAATAACATTTGAAATTGAAAATAAGTCAAAATCAGATTTAAAGTTGAAACGAAATCAATAAAATTGCAACAACATTTAAAAATAAAGCATAACTAGAATCATACACATTTGAAAATGTAGTAGTAGTAGTAGTATAGTTAGATTTTTTTAGGGAGTTATTTAATAAAATAATATTTAAAAATAAATAAAATACACATTGAAATATGGATGATGTAATCATCTATTTAACTGGGTAAATTTCATTTTACCCCATTGTACTCTGCATGAGAGTCACCTTACCCTCTCGTACTCTCAATTTTATCGATTTACTTCCTTGTACTTGTACAATTTTCCAATACAACTCTTTCCTTCAATTTTTGTCAATTTTGACTCTAACGCCATTTGGTCAACTCTGTAAATTACAAAATTGCTACTGCCTATAACGCGTCGTTTCTCCTCCGTCAATATTGTCATTTCTTCTTCTCCCACCACTTCCCCTCCCAAGATATTCCCAAATTGAACCCCTAATTTAGTAAAAATCAAGACCCAAAAATTGATCGATTCCACCCAGTGCAAAGAAAAAATATATGAATGTGTGAAACTTTCTCTTTTCTAAGTCAAAATCGAAAAAATTCAATATTTACGTCAATATTTTGACTCTTGACCAAATAGCGTCAGAGTCAAAATCGAAAAAAGTTGACGAAGAGGGTTGTATTGGGAAATTATACAAGTACAAGGGGGTAAATCGACGAAATTAAGAGTACGAGGGGTAAAGTGGTTTTTGGGCAGAGTACAAGGGGGTAAATTGGAATTTACCCTTTAACTAAATAGGGTAAATAGTGTAAATTCATAAACTCATGGGGTCGGTCTAGATAAGCACTATATAAACTGATAAATTCCCTAAATCGTTTTGCCGACTTCTCAAAACTAAAAACCCATGCGGAAATTCATTCATTAATCACAGACTGAAGTAGAGGAAGGAAAGTTCACGTAGCAGAATTCAGGTTCGATTCTTCATCATCTTTGCCAAATTTAATTAATTTTTTTTTCGTTTTCCAGTTTTAATTACGTCGATTACCATTTGCTAAATTTAAATTTTGTATTTCGTAATTACATATTTGAATGAATTGTTGAGCACACATGAATCGGAAATTGTTGAATTCGTGTAAAGTATTACTGTTAGTTTGGTTAAATCAGATAATTGTAATTTATTAGGGCACAATTCGTGGAAAAAATGTCTGAAAAATCAAATCTTTTCATGGGCTGTGTAATTAAGCAATTAAATTGTATCAGTTGCCTGATTATGAGTTTCGATTTTTATTTCGTTATTATCGAATATATTTGTTGTTCAAAATTTACATGTGAAAACATTTTTTTAGGGTTCACTCTGTTATTAAGTTGATAGTGTGGCTGCATGTTGATTATCTATAATTTTTTGATGCAGTTTTAAAGAATTCGTATAATGGAAGAGGTTCCAGTAGATGATCAATCCCCAGTTTCGCCATTTTCGAAATGGAGAGACGATTTTTCGAGGGCGTTTCAGTATTTTCTGGATAGATCCGCTCCTCATATAGTCAATAGATGGCTCGGGACACTTGCTGCAGCAGCAGTTTACGTCTTGCGTGTTTATTACTTACACGGGTTTTTTGTTATCTCGTATGGTTTAGGAATATATATACTGAATTTGTTGATTGGTTTTATGTCTCCGAAAGTTGATCCCGAGCTTGAAGTGTTAGATGGAGGGGCTTCTTCTCCGACTAAGGACTCTTACGAGTATCGGCCATTCACTCGTCGCCTGCCCGAATTCAAGTTCTGGTGAGATTGAAATTGATTTTAAATGCAAATTTTGAATTATGTTTAATGTTTTGAAAAAAAAAATCGCATTAAATTTTTTTTTCCGGTTATTTGTATGGTTTTGACTTTTGTCAGTTTCGAGTTGCATCATGATGAACTATCGAGTTCATGTGTATAAAATTATAGTATCGAGCGATGTGGGGTTGAGTTGTGGTTCGCTGTGTTGTCAAATATCTTTGTTTGATTTGTTCTCTTCGTAATAATTTTTAGTTGACTTACTAAAGCGAGAATCTTGTGATATTTACAAAATGCTATTAAGTTTAGTTGATACGAGTTTTTTTAGACCTTGTAAACGGCAACCGTGATATACTAACTCCCCGATTATTCAGCATGGTAAGGCCCCTTTTTTGGTCTTAATAATGGCTTTATTTTGTTAACTGACCGAAATAACGAGCAGTTCTCTTATGATAAAAAACGAAAACGTCAACTTCTTTTTTAACTCAATCGCAACTAATGTAGCTAAATAATCATTTTTGTTAAGAAGAGCAAGAATTGTATTTTTGGATTTCAAGAATTTGTTTAAGTGGCTGATCTTTTCCTTTACCCTGTTTGCGGTCGACAATCGACATACTTCGATACTTCCTTTTTGCGTTTTTCGTTTTGTTTGAAGAGACTATTAAATTTGTACTTAATTGCCTTTTTTTTTTTTTTTGGCAATTTTTTAAATAAATTTCAGGTATGCAATCACAAAAGCGCTTTGTGTTGCCTTCCTCATGACATTCCTCTCTATATTCGATGTTCCCGTTTTCTGGCCGATATTATTCTTCTACTGGTTTTTTCTGTTTTTCCTCACAATGAAGAGGCTTATCACTCATATGATCAAACATAGATATGTCCCGTTCAACTTTGGCAAGCAGGTGACGTATCTCTATTCTCGTCTATTATTTAATTAAATTCTTAAAATATTCACTTTGTTTTCTTGATGTTTCTCTTTCTCGACTTTCTTCGTATAATGACTTTAATTTTGCATACGTGTTTGAACAGAAATATTCCGGGAAGAGGCCTGCTCAAAGTACTAGTGGCTCGCGCAGAGACTGAGCGTTGGAATTTTTTAGAACACGCGACTTCAAACATGTATGTTGTGTATATATATATATACTTCTAACTTGCTAAACGGAAAAAAAATATGAATAAAGACGATTTGTAGTTATTGTAATTCGCCTGATTAATCGTTTGACATTCGGGTTCTATGTAATAAATGTTGGCGAAATGTGTTGATCTTTTTTTGTTCTTAAGATGAATATTGTTTCTCAATATACACATCCTCTGTTTCAATATGACTCGGTTTCGGGGCTTAATTGGATTTTGATCTTTTCTTTGTACCAATTTGCAAATATGATTTATGATAATCAAGCAAAAGACCGAGGGCCAATTAGACAATTTTACTATTGTCCTAGTTGTTAGGAATGACTAGGGATGTAAATTGGCACGGAATTTCCAATTTCCGTCGACTTCGATCTGATTTTATTTTTGAAGCAATATTTTTCATTTCGAATTTCGAGTTCCGATTTTTTATTTTATTTTATTTTTATATTTTTCTGAAGGTCTGAAATATTTTAATTTACGATCTGATTTTAATTTCTGACTTTTTTCTAATCTTTCAGAATAAGTGTTTTCATTCCGAATTTTTAATTTTTTTCCGTTTTTTTTTTTCTTAAATTATTAATCTCTATAATCTTGAAAATAACAACTTAACAGAATGAATTCAAAAACCTTGACTTAGCCAAAGAGATGCCAGAATGAATCCAAGTCATGTACATACACAAATTTGGTTCAACAACTTCCAACAACCAAAATTGACAAATAAAATTAAAATTATCATCATGCACAAAAAAATTATTTAAATAATATTTCGCGTGTTCATTAGTAGAAACATATATTTAATTTAAACACCAAATTATGATTAGTCCTCCAACAGGGCCAGCTAATTCTAATTAATTAATTAAGTAATTTAACAGCCCTTCACCAAAGCAATAAAAGCCTCTATGCACTTAGCTATTTCAATGGCTGCCAAATATACTCTCAATGAGTGGAAGAATCTATGTAGTAATCTTGTTCTTCTGGGCTCTCCTAACAGTTATAACTCCGATGCTCGTTCGATTATCGGATTCTGCTAATCTTTACAGGAGATTTGACGGTACGAGGATTCGTTTTATGTATCGTTGTTATTATTAATTAATTCTTGATTTGATTGATTTTAGTTTGGGTTTTGTGAATATGTTTTTATTTACATAGTAATTTGTTTTTTGCAGGTGACGAAAGAAGGGAAGGGGTGCAGTTGTTATTTCCGAGAAGGGTACTTATTGCAGCAACTGTTTCACCGGCAGCGCCAGCTCCGGCTCCGGCTCCGGTGGCATCTCTGGCGGAGAAGATGTATTTTCCGGTGAGTTCGGCCGGAACTATGTTCGATCGGAATTGAGTTGTGAATTGTGAAGAGGAATAGAATAATGATTTAACTGTTAGATTTTATGATCGAGCCGAGTGTTTGAGAAGTTGTAAAGTAAGCATGATTGAAAAGTAGTAGAACCTCGATAACGTATTAAATTATTAGTTCGATAATTTAATATTCGCTAAATTAATAAAATTTTGTTAGTACCGACTGTGCTATTTTAAAGAGGTTTAAGTGTGTATTGGTAGAAGGTTTAGTTTGTACACTAATACCCAGAAAAGAAGAAAAACGAAATTCCAATAATTTTGTTCCGACGCAAATCACAATGTCCGACGTCTTTTTCATCGGACTTCAAATTTATCCATCAATTTTAAGGGCATTTTAGTCATTTCATTATTTCCATCAAAACCCTAAAATCGACGTCTTTTTCATCGGACTTCAAATTTATCCATCAATTTTAAGGGCATTTTAGTCATTTCGTTATTTCCATCAATGTCCGACGTCTTTTTCATCGGACTTCAAATTTATCCATCAATTTTAAGGGCATTTTAGTTATTTCATTATTTCCATCAAAACCCTAAAATCTAAACACTGCCACGGCCGGGTCCGGTTTTTAGAGGACCCGAAACCGACCCGCGGGGAAGCGGGTCCAGTCGGGCCCAACTTGGGACGGTTCTGGGTCCGGACCGGGTTTATTAATTTTGTTCCAAAATTAC